CATGGACAACTTTCCATTAGGGATGTCTAGGATGCCATATCCAGAATGGCTCAAGTTGGGATGCTTTTCTGGGAAGCTAGACAATGTAGATTTGACTTCTGCAGACTGAGCAGGATCTAGAAGTCAACATCTGTCATCTCTGGGCACATAACTCTGAAATTTTGGCTGTTATTTTTAGCTGAGATCAGACTCCCCATGCTCACCCATCTGTTTCAGCCCTCAGAATAACAGGAGCTAAAGTGGGTCACAGCAAAGACCCCAGCAGGCCAGCATCCTGCCTCTCCCAGGACCAAAGCAGCTGCCCAGGAGAGAAGACAAAACAGAGGACAAACATATGGAGCATCCCCAAGGATGAGCCATGCCATTTTTCCAGACTGTACATCACAGCTCAAAGGAACTGGAATCACTGCCCAGACTAACAGAGCATGATTTCCCTCATTTCACATTGTTCTCACTGGCAAGCACCACCCAAGTTTTACAGTTTTCTTACCCATTAGGCAGTATTTTCTTACAATGCATTCCAGAGTGGAACTCCTTCTGGATCATCTACAAACACAGCATGACTGGTGAAAAGTCTGCAGGATGAAGTCCCCACACTGACTCCTAGAATGAAAGAGTTCTTCATCCTGGAGAGGAACTGTCACATTGTTCTCACTGGCAAGCACCACCCAAGTTTTACAGTTTTCTTACCCATTAGGCAGTATTTTCTTACAATGCATTCCAGAGTGGAACTCCTTCTGGATCATCTACAAACACAGCATGACTGGTGAAAAGTCTGCAGGATGAAGTCCCCACACTGACTCCTAGAATGAAAGAGTTCTTCATCCTGGAGAGGAACTGTCTGCAACTTCCTCCCGAGGGGCAGGGGCAGCGCAGCTCTCAGCTCTGCCCTCTGGGACCAGTGACAGGACTGGGAACAGCTGGAGCTGTGTCAGGGGAGGGTGAGGTTGGATATTAGGGGAAGGTTCTTCCCCCAGAGGTGTTTGGGCACTGAACAGCTCCCCAGGGCAGTGGGCACAGCCCCAAGGCTGACAGAGCTCCAGGAGTGTTTGGCCAATGCTCTCAGGCACAGGGTGCATTGTTGGGGTGTCCTGTGCAGGGACAGGGGTTGGACTGATGATATTTGTGGGTCCCTTCAAGACATTGTGTGATTCTATGATTCTAGTAAAGCTCAAGGGTAACTAACTGAAAGGGCAACTCAAGCTCAGGAGCTGTCTGGTGCTTGGCTGTTAGTACACACACTATTTAGGCTCTACAGAAACTGCCAAGAGGAACACCAAAACAAGAGCAGTTCTCCCTGGCGTGAGATTCCTGTGAACTAAGAGAGCATTTCACCTGGCTCAGGGGACCAACACCAGTGTTTGATCATTACTCACCAAGTGAGACTCATGTCTACCCTCACCAGGCAGTGGAGGAACACGGGTTTGATGGAGAGAGTTGCTTTTTTTCTCCCTAATCAGTGGTTTTCTGCTTTGCAGAGGACCAGGAGGGAAATCCTCCAGCACACTGCTGAATCACCAGCCAGCTCTTGCTATCTAGTCAATTATTTGGGAACTATTGCACCTGCTATCCCTTCATTACTTTATTACTTCTGCTTGGATGGGGAAAACAACATCATAACCTTGTGTATAAATCACTCCACCAGAATAACAGGCAAGAAAATAAGACAGAGAATTCATTTGGCCCATCCCTCTGCTCAGCACTAAGCATTACCTCCAACATAATTTTTAAAGAGGTTATAAAAACAAGTAATAATCTTCAAGCCTTTCTGGGGAGTAGAATCAGCTTTTTCTCACTACCCAACTGCTGCCAGTTCAGTGCAATCCCAGCTGCTCTGGTCCAATGTGGTGAGCCACTTTGGTCCTTTCTCGCAGAAGACAACTTAAAATAGCTACCATGTCTTGTCTTAACTTTTCACAGACTTCTTGCCTGCACAGGTTAGCATTCCTAACCAGCAGTCAGCTGCCTTTTTTTCCTCCAGACTCTCTGCTCTGCTCTGCCCTCAAACATGCTGCCACAGGCTGGTGCAGAAGCTTTATCAGCATCAGGGGAATGTCAGGATTTTCTCACTCCAAAAGCCTTCTGTTAACACAGATTATTTTTTTTTTTGCAAGTGCATGACACTGTCCAGGCATGGACAGCATTGGATCCTCTAATGCCTGGATGCTTTTGCTACGAAACAGCTACTCAGCCTCATTCCTCTGGGCATAATTAATTAGTTTCCAGCTCAAACACCTCTCTCCAGTGAACTCCTTTAAAGTTGATTTTGTATGTTCTACTTCACTCCAAACTTTCTACCATACAGTTTTGCTCCACCACTTCAGTTCTCTCTTTCTTCTGTCCTTTCTCTCTTCTCTGCATCCCCACAGTGTAGGCAGCAGGTGGGAGGGGATTCTGCCCCTCTGCTCAGGTGAGACTTCACCTGCAGAGCTGCCTCCAGCTCTGGGGCCCAGCACAGCAAGGACATCAACTGCCAGAGCAAGTTCAGGGGAGGCACCAAGATGATCAGAGGGCTGGAGCAGCTCTGCTGCGAGGAAAGGCTGAGAGAACTGGCTTGTTCAGCTTGGAGAAGAGAAGCTTTGGGGTGACCTAACTGCAGTCTTCCAGTACCTGAAGGAGCTACAGGTAAGATGGAGAAGAGACTATTTACAAGGGCTTGCAGTCACAAGACAAGGGGAATGGCTTCCCACTGCCAGAGGGCAGGGATAGATGGGATATTGGGAAGGAATTGTTCCCTGTGAGGGTGGTGAGACACTGGCACAGGTTGCCCAGAGCAGCTGTGGCTGCTCCATCCCTGGGAGTGTTCCAGGCCAGGTTGGACAGGGCTTGGAGCAACCTGGGCTAGTGGAAGGTGTCCCTGCCCAGGGCAGGGGGTGGAACTAGATAAACCCTTCCAACCCAATCCATTCTATGATGGACCTAACAGACAAAAAGAGAAGACAGAAGGGCTCTGAAATCATGTAAGAATATTTTATCTTAAGTTCTTAAGACAGTCTGAAGGCATTAACTGCATAAATCACCTACATGAAGTCTTGTATGCTCCTCTTTCTATTTCTAGTGCTGCTTCTAAAATAATCACATAGAAAAAAAAAATCTAAGTTCTCACATTTTTTATACCACTTTAACATCTATTTAGAACTTGGAGACCTCAAACAGGAGCACAAATGGTTTTTTCTAACAACCTTTTTTGCAACACATTTCCTTAAATGATCTATTTTAGCATTTTGGCTCATTGCTACTAATTTTCCAGACTATATGCAAGTCTAGAGAAAACCAGTTCCATACTGAAAAAGGTCAGGAATTTGAGGCTGACAGGCTACACTCCGACAAGAGAAGCTATTTGAATTCTATTACAAATAAATGTTTTGAGTTGTACTATAAATGTAACACTCAAGCTCAACTTTAACTGCAAAGCAAAGAGATTCACAGCTCCACAGAGAGCTCTCTTCAGGGGACAACAACACTGCCAGCTGGCAGAATGGGAAAAGGGAAGAGAGAGAAAAGAGACACTGAAATAAATTCCTGCCCCAGATAAAAAGGCAGAATTAGAACTCAGCCTTTGTGCAGAGCAGTGTTCAAGGCACTGCTGAATGTTTAGGCCAGGTTGGACAGGGCTTGGAGCAACCTGGGCTAGTGGAAGGTGACTCAGTCCATGGCAGGGGGCAGGACTAGATGGACTTCAAGGCCCCTCCCAATCCAAACCAGTGTGTGATGTTGGTAATTTAGTCTGCATGTCTACTAGTAACAGATAAAATCATCCACTACACAAGCAGAAAGGTGGCCTGAATTCTCCCTGGCTCATTTCCTCACTTCTTGATCAATCCCAAGCAGAGTGATAGCTCAAAGGGCAACTCCAGAGTTGTTTGTGGCTAGTTCTGTGCAGTGTCAGACACTGCTCCCAGTTCATACACCTGGGCAGGAAATCTTACATTAAATAGAGAAGAAAAGACTCAGAAGTCAAGAGAGCTCCAGAGATCAGAACTGCCTTAACAACCCCCAAGAGAAGTTCAGAAACCCTTCAGCAAAAATTATGCTCCTAGGGAAAGCTTCAGGAAGATTATTTTTCATTGACATAACTTCTGAACACTTACTGCAATGATGAAATTATCCTGGCAATAATACAGCCAAACCCCACAATTTGGCTAACAGGAAAATGCATGAATACAAGCTTTGTATTTTACAGTTAAAACAAATTTAAAGAGCTATTTTAGGTTCCAGGAAAGCAAAAGAATACAAGTATTTTAATTAGGATTATTTTTGCAAAAGCTTTTTTAAGAAATCTGGTAAAAATAATCCATGCCTTAAAGACACAGAAAGGAAAATGAGAAATAACTTGAAATAACAGCATTAAAGAATTGCCTTTAAGGCCAGTGCCATGATTTAGTGCTTAGCATAACGTCCCCAATGCACTTAGGACAAAAGAATTACATTTCAAGTCCGTCAGGCTCCAGATTTGCAGGGGAGAGGGATAATGTCAAGTGAATTAAAGAAGATGGATGAGCCAGTGGATTCAAAGGGAGCGATTACAGTCTTCAGGACACAGACAGATCTGGCAGTTCAGAATGAGGACTGACAGCCTAAAATGGCAGGAAAAGGCAATCCAACCCCCAAATATCAAAGCTCTGGAAATAAAGGGACATAGAGCCAAGTGCTGACTTTGGGCCCAGTGAGGAGGATGAATAAAGTGATTTGAGAAGTCAAACTTCACTTTACAATCAGTAGCACTAAGTGATTTCCACTTAGCCAAACATGCAGGTCCTGCAGTTAGCGTAACTTCCTCCAGATCCACAAACCAGCCCTGCAACAAAACCTGCTGTGACTGACTGGAAGAGAAGCTGATGGAAGTCTGGGATGGATCCACTCAGGCAGACAAGGAGAGCACAACGTTTTCTCAGTGTGCATCAATCACATAGAAAACCCAGAGGACTCAGGGCTACCAAAGAGGCTGAGCCACTCAGCATCCTTTGAGACAGAGAAAAAAGCACTTGAAATCTCCTTACCTGTGGGAATTTGCGTTTGATGGATATCAGAGCTCCCTCCGGGAGCTTGGCGAGCTCCGAGTCCCTGACCGCGTGCACGGTGGTGGCTCTGGGCTGGTGGGTCAGTGCCTCTACCTGAAAGAGTACAGAGCCAAGGCATTAATGACACTTCACTGCACGGTGCAACACCCAAATGTCAGCACGGAGAGGCTGAACAATGCCAGGAACCAGGCTGGCACACTCACAGCTCCGGAGCACAGCGCTGGCTGGGCCTGGCTCACTGGGGCACAGCAGCAGCCACGAGCATCAACTCAGCCCAGAGCTCTGGGACACACACTCTGCCCTGGGACAGGCAAAGCTTCTCACAGAACCAGAACCCACAGCCCCAGACACTGGGATAAGAGGACGTTCTGTTGGAGATTCAGATTAGATGTTAGGAGAAATGTTTTCCCGGTGAGGATGTTCAGACACTGGGATATTGCCCAGGGAGGTGGTGGAGTCACCATCCCTGGAGGTGTTTAAAAGAGTCTGGATCTGGCACTGGAGAATATGGTTTAGTGGTTACAGCAGTAACAGGTTAATGGTTGGACTTGATGATCTTAGGATGATTCTATGATGCTTTTGCAGCTCTCAAACACAAAGCATCTCCAGAGGGAGGGAACAAGCTGCTTTTAACACCTACCAGAACAACTACCAGAGGAATACAGCAAACAGCATCACAACAACACTGAGAGCTTTTCATCCATCATCTTGAATGGGGATAAAACCAGCTAAGAGGCAGGAAAACTCACTTCTCTACTGCTCTTTCTTCTTTACTCAATGCCACCCTGAAACACCTTCAAGTGTTCACACAGCCAGGTTGGCTAAAGCCTTGAGCAACCTGCTCTGGTGGGAGGTGTCCCTGCCCAGGGCAGGGGGTTGGGGCTGGATGAGCTCTAAGCTCCATCCTAGCCCCTAAAATTCTATGATTCTCCTTTATGAGGAGAACCTGAGACCATAAAAACCACCCCAGGTTCAGAAAGGAAACTGCTGCTCCCCAAATTCCTACCTGCCTCATCCCAGAGCCCTGGACCTGCCACCAGCTCTTGTATTGTTTGCAAATGCAGAAATCAAACTTCCTGGTGAAATATCTTCCCATGGCTAATGAGTGATCCTGCCAGGAGAGATGGCTCAGGCTTGAGCTACAACATCTAATTGCTTAGGAACAGCCTGGTGCTGTGTTTGGGGAGTTCTAGCAGTAAGCAATGTTTTTGGGGTTAAAAATCCACAGATCAGTTGTGAGAAAAAAAAAAAAAAAAAAAAAGATTGTCACTATAGTAATTGTAATTACTAACGTTAAAATACCAACAGAAAAATTTCTCCTAACTGCAACTCACACTTAGAATCAAAGTGACCATGACTTTGCATTTTTAATTTGCTAGTAGAAAAAAAATTAAATAATGTATCACCTTATCCCTATTTAGGTTATTTAGAGCTTGGGGGCTTTGATGGGTTTTTAGTTGGATTGATTTTTGTCCCAGAGCTTATGTCAACAGCAGATTCCAACACAAGCAGTTCTTCCTTACAGAACTAAGGGCTCAGACTCAAAAAATGAACACATGGAATGCTCTGCGCAAGGGCTGAGCTGGGCAGGTGCCCAGGTGTTTGGGAGTGTTTAGCCTGGAAAAAAAAGGAGGCTCAGGGCGACCTGCTCACACTCTACAACTCCCTGAAAGGATGTTGGAGCCAGGTGGGGGTCAGTCTCTTCTCCCAGAAAACAAGAGGAAACAGCCCCAAGCTGTGCCAAGGGAGGTTCAGGTTAGACATCAGGAGGAATTTCTTCCTGGAAGGGGCTATCAGGACTTGGAAGAAGCTGTCCAGGGAGGTGGTAGAGTCACCATCCATGGACATGGCACCCAGTGCTCTGGTCTAGTTGACAATGTGGTGATGGGTCACAGGTTTGACTTTACGATCTTGGAGGCCTTTTCCAACCTAAATGATTCTGTGATTCTGTGTGCATTGCTGCCCCAGAGCTGGGCAGGTGCCCAGGGGTGTGTGCACTGCTGCCCCAGAGCTGGGCAGGTGCCCAGGGGTGTGTGCACTGCTGCCCCAGAGCTGGGCAGGTGCCCAGGGGTGTGTGCACTGCTGCCCCAGTACAAAACTAGTTCAAACATACAACTCTGACCCTACTTCCACCACGAATGGCTTCTTGAAAGGCTCCACATGCATGAAATGGACAGTCCAGCCAGCCAGAACATCTAGAGCTCAAAAACCTGTTATTAATCCAGAGAGGTGAGACCAGCCCAGAGTTCAACCAGCACCAACTGCTCTGCATCAAAACTGCACAGGCAAATTTAAGGCACCTACACTGGCAAGCTGCAGTCTTTGTTTTCTGCTCAGGTGCCAGAGATGTTTTGTTATGCCATCATATTTTAAACTAATTATATAGAAGGAAAAAAAAAAAGTCATCTTTCTCCATACACTTACGGAGAAACAAATCCCCTTCAGGTTCCCCAAAGGGCTGTATAAGATCTCCTGTTTCATTTCTCTCCCCTATTACCAGCTTTTTATCACAGGTTTTTGGCTCTGTAATTTACCTTCCTCATCCTGAGAGCAGGTTAAGTTTCAGCTGTTAAAATAAAACCTTTCCCCTCAGCCAGTCACCACCAGACTGAGTTTAATTTGCACCAAGAAGAAAAACACTCAAACTGTCCAACATCCTTTGCCACAATTTCTGTGATAGATGAGTGTATAAAATTAACTGTGCTCCAAGGGGCTCCCAAGCCTTTCAGAAAAGATGAAATTTGTAAATTTGTAGAAGAGGGAATTAAATTTTAACATTAAACACATCCTCAGGGAGGTTTTTTCCCTTCCAAACTGTGACTTTGTCTTTTCGACAAAGCAGAGGCCACACAGAGACCTTTTCCAAACCCCTTTTCCCAAGGAGCCATTCAGATCTCCAGAGCAAGTGGCATTTGCAACAGCCCCAGTTCTTCAAACCCCTGCAATTGCAGGGAACTTGCTGAAAGCAATTCCAAAGTCATTACAGAGCTTGGATCTTGTACTGCTCTTACATACAGGTACTGTCTTTGATACTTTCACTTCACTACACCCCAGTATTCCAGCATGGAATGGCACTGTACACCTAGAAATTCAACTCCTGCTTTCTGCTTGGGTGTTACCTCAGACCCCAATCTCTAAATTCAGTAATTATCCCAAATCATCTCTTCACTCATTATCCCAGAGCTGCTGTGGCTGCTCCATCCCTGGGAGTGTTCCAGGTCAGGTTGGATGGGGCTTGGAGCAACCTGGGCTGGTGGAAGGTGTCCCTGCCCACTGCAGGGGATGGAATGACATGAGCTTTAAGGTCCTTCCAACCCAAACCAGCCTGTGAGTCCATGACTAATAAAAGACTTCCTCTTCCCTGGAAGTGAGAGGACTCTCAGGCACCATTTCAGCTATCTGTAAGATTATTCTCAGCCTTCACCACATTCTCCTCCCTCCACACCCATGGTTTCTAAGCCTTCTCTGCACCAGTTTTACATCTCCTATGCATGGGAATCTGCCAACTCCAATTGGTGTTTGGCTGTTCTTGCCTTTCTTGGAGATCAAAAACATATTGTAACATGGAGTTGCAGTTCACCCCCTGAAAATTATAATTGTCTACTTGGTATTTAGTTCTTGCTTAGAAAAAGAACAACATGAGCACTGAAAAATCATTTCAGTCTTATGCCACATTCCATCCTTGGGTTCCTCTGCCCAGTGAATCTTGTGAACAAGTTGTCATACTTCTCCAGGTTTGTAAATAGTACAAGACTCAGAAATCTTTAATATGAATAAAATCCACTTGCCATGAGAAGATCAACCCCATAAGATTATTTCCCTGGTCATAAAAAGAGAAATTCAACATTCTGATCACCCACCACAGCTGCAGCATCGACACAAAACCACCCCCACAATAACATTGATAAACAAATGTTTGCAGAAATAATATTATCTTCCAGACCTTATTCAGCCTGACTGGGGAGAGCATTTATTGATATATTTGGTTGTATAATCACCCAAGGCTCTTTTGAGCTCCTTCCCAAACTACCATTACCATCATTCATTCATGCCAGCATGAGCA